ATGTAATTATCTGTGCTATAATTCTATAAATAAGGCACCCACCAGTTCGATATAGGATGATATAGGCTTTCCATTGATTTAAACTATTCAATCCCCCACCTGGTCGCTCTGGAGGCATCGCTCTTTCTCGGTGCCATGGTGGAACCCCGTCGCTACCCCAAAGACGAGGTACCGAGCGACGAGTGGGACTTTGGAGTTTCAACTCACGAACGAACCATATATAGTGGATTGAGAGTAGATGGCACAGACCCCAAGAGGTGGTTTATATGGACCCCCACTGTATTAGTAAATCATCCCAAGTAAAGCTTGAACACAAACGAATGTCTGAAAGCACCCAAACAGGCTACCTGTTTTGCATCCGGAACATGGAACATGCGAGGTCCAGTAGCTTAGGCTACTTAGCATAGGGATACTGTATCCGGAGTGTCTAGGGCCTGGGGTATAGTCTACGTGGCTGAGGTAGTACGTAGCCAAATGTTGATGTTCTCCCCTCGCGAAAAAACAGCGACAGGGCCGTCGTCCGGATCATCTTGCCAGCGTGCCTGTGAAAAGAAGAATCCCGCTGGGGTGCGTTGCGGAAACTCCTCAAAAATCCATGTCAATCATATTAGCATTCTGCAAAGCCTAGTAGCTTATGTCAACCATGACGCTGATGGCTGAATGATTCCAATGGTGTAAACATGTCTGAGATCTTTAGCTTCCATAAACCTAACTAACAGTATCCTCCCCTTCATTGAACCAACCAATTTGGGTCAGAGTTTCCAAGACCTCTGCAGAAGTAGTGCCTAGCCTTTGATTTCCTGTCATCCACCACCCTGCAAATTCCGGGCTCTGGGACGAAAAGAGCCATGGTTAGCGGCGACTGGCGATTATCCTGAAGCGGACACCGAACATGTTCTAGTTGAATGCGGGTGAGGATACTTGTCTGTGGTGTCCATCCGCAAAGCATTGTATAAATCTGTCCTATCACCTGTCACTGTCTCCACACACCGCACCTAAGTCCCACTTGGCATCATTCAAGTTGGTCGGATCACCATTCACCGGAGCAAGAAAAGAGCCAGGTCTTGGAGTGGAATCATCGAATCATACTCCCTGTAGCTCCTTGGCTTCCTCTTTTCGGGGGAGTATGGGTACTGTCAAGAACTCGCTCCCTGATGAGCAAAGAGCTAGCATAATACTCAATTAAACATTCTAGAGAACCCATGTTCGATCACATGTTGCTACCGTCTTGTCCCGTGGTATTCGTCCCCTTCCCATCTTTGCTCCGCGCGCCACCGAATCCGCCGGTCAACCGCCTGCACTCGTCGACTCGGTTTCGGGGGCTCCTCCGGCAGTTGGGAGGACGTCGGGGGCGCTAACCTCAGGTGCGCGACAGGAGGATCGGCCTGAAGGATCCTGAAGGATCGATGGGTCCATGGAAACATCTGGACACAACACCTAGGTGTCCAAGTGAACCGTCCTCCCTAAGATGCGTCAACCGCCAGTCAAGGAAGGTCCATCTCTTATCTAGTCCCAGCTGCAGCGGTAAGACTCCAGTGATGTCTTTCTTCCTTCCATTTCGTTCTTGTCCTTTCCCTTCCCTTCCCTCTCTGTCTCGTCCTCTCTGTCTCTGATTTGCCTGTGCAAGGATTTGACGATTTTGTCCACTACTGGTCGTTGAGACTCTTTATTCACCTTAATGCTGCATCTTAAATCAATGCGAATGGTGAAGGTATTGAATCAGGTTGTCTTTGAGAAACTAGGGTGTCTTGTCTTCATGATATGATCCTCCATGGGACATCTTCCTTGCTAGCCGGGGCATCATCCAGAACCTGCTAGGAAAATCTTGGGACAGAACCAAAAACTTCAGCAAGCGAGGGAACATATCTCAAACACATGCACTCGCCGGCCACTTAGACATTGCACAGTCAAGTCAATCCTCTCCAGCTGGCACCGTCTCCTGTTTAGGAACTATGTAACTACAGTACAGGAATCTTTTTTGCACAAATCAGGAGAGCCACAAAACCCAGGTATGGACTGTCTTTGTCAGGATTATTTTCATAAAGCTGTGCGAACATCGAACTCTACTTCGCTCGATGGTTTGTTTCTCTTCTTATATTCCTACTCCCTCCAGTTGTCTGGAGACATGCAAAGCGTGGCTCGGCCCAGCTCCAGCTGGGCATCCCCCACGCACTGCCAGGCCGTGAGAGGCTCAACACCGGCAGCGTGGGCGGCAGTGATTGCCCAGCGATGGGATAGGCTGGCGTCGCAAGACGAGCGTGCGGGCGCGCGCGGGAGTAGTGGTGGTGCGATTTTGGAAAGTTTCGGGGCCTCCAGTGGGCTCCACGGATCTGCAGAAAGGAAGATCAAAAAGAGAGAGGAGATGGTTTAGATGTTTAGTCAACTAATCTTCTTGGGTGGGGTTGCACGAGGATCGAGAACCAAAATAGCAAAGTTCAAATATGCACCCGTCTCCAACATCTTGCCAGTCAGATCTCCTCCAATCCAGTGGAGACAAGTAGATCTGACTGACTGACAGCATTATCTTGGATCTGCTCAATTAATCACTTTAGAGAAAACAACATAGTTAATCACTTTAAGCAAAACCAGCATTCTGGTTGGATGTTGTCAACTGATCCAACTCTCATCTAACTCGTTGCCCCGAACTCTTGAGTCCCAGCATCGCACCAACTCGTCTCCCGCCTCCGGGTCGCCTGCAGCGGAGAAAAGAAGGGTGCCGACATGTGCGAAGTTCGACCCATTGTCGAACGGTAGAATTGTTTTCCACCTTTTCTATATGATGTATAAGGGTGAATGCCTACCAAGGAGAGCTGAAGGCGAACCCAATTTGTTTGGTCGTTGGTATTTGCACGAACCGAGCCACCAACAACCCTGCGGGAGAACGGACAGCCGAACGGACAGGCCCGGGAGGTGAAGCGGAGAGGACGGGAACGAAACCTCTAGGCTCAGCATAGCTCAGCCACTCACAAGTTCCGTGCAATTCACTTGGGTAAATATGGCTTTTAACAAAAACTACATGTTCTATTTCACAGTGACATAATTGTATGTGATATTATATGTGCTTGTCATTGACTGATATGTAGGGCCGGGCTCGTGAAATGTTTCTGACATTGTCAGATGACACCGATGACACCCATGGAACACGTGGTTTCTTCTAACATGAACAAGAATGGGGCGGACTCAAACATAACATTAAAAAAAAAAAAAAAACATGTTACAGACCTCGGAAAGTACGCGGATCCATGTGGGTCCTGTCATGCTTTTTCTGGCCTGGCCTGGCTTAGGCTGTGTGTCTATGTTCCTTCACCTTTCAGCAGCTTGTCGGGTCTCGCGGTCTCGGGAGCTACACTCGTACCTTTGAAGGTACCGATCCCAGACACTCCATGGGATTGGCATCGGACTGCCGTCCCAAGACCCCTCTGGCACCCCCTGGCCGTTTCTCGGCAGACCGTCCTGGCAGTCCCAGTGTTTGGTTTGGCTTCGAACGCCTCCCGATCGCCGTCGGTGGGACTCTCACTCCCGCCCTCGCCCGCCCTCGCCGCAACGCGATGGATGACCAGTGGCAAGGCGGTGGTTCCAGGGCGGCTGGGAAGGGCCGAGGCGGGCCTCGGAAGCTTCGAATGAGCTGAAAGCGACCACGGTTTGGGCCACGCGGCACCATGCGGAAGGAGCATGAGTTGACATTTCTTGTGGAGGTATGATCCCGATGGTTTCATGGTGTCTTTTCATTCGTCTGCTTGAATGTTTGCATGCTTTTGCTTGTTGCGGCCTCTGGCTGGTGCTGTTTGGCGATTTGCGTGACATCTTGAATCTTCCGAAGGCCAAGCCGACTTCCTCCAAGAGTAATATAGACCCTGCACATAAAATCTAGGAAAACAATAATAACACATTTCCTCTTACTCGATCAGGAGGTCCATGTCAACACTGGTCTTTGACTATATATTGCCTTCCTGCAAACGCTTAAAGCCTTTTGGAGGTTCGTTTTCAAGCATAATCTACCTTCAACAAGCTGGTCAACCCAAAGTTCCCATACAATCAGTATGCAACTAAGGGGTCTCTACAATTTCCCAAGCATAATCTTAAAGCCTGCGGCTTGCCCAGACACAATGGAGCTAATCAAAGCAATTACCCCACAATCATGAGCGCTCCAGTTCGCCATTTCGTTGTTTGCTCCCTCGGTGCATTGTACTTGTCGATCTCAGAGTCTTTCCCGTTTCCAATGCACCGACTTACACCTCACATCAGGAAGCGAGGACGCTACGAACGCAACAAAGGGCCTCGCTACTACTGGTAGGAGCGATCGGACGCTACGTTCGGACCCTACTAGGGGGGTCCTGGCCTTATTAGCTAGGAACAAGAAGCTACTATATAGGAGTCTTTTCCCTATTCCCAGACCTCCGGGCAGAAACCGCCACGCCACACCGCCGACGCGCACGCGCCGCTCACGGCGCGAAACGACGGCGCGCGTCAGTTGACGGGACTTCCGGACACGCTGCGCACCGGCGGGAACCTGAGGAGGTGGAGGTGGAGGTGGCAATCTTGATTCAATAAACTACCCTTTCCATTTGGATTGTAGAACCTCTTCAGGCTTGGGGGTTTGTCAGTATTTTGCGAGTCAAGAGTCATCAGGCTGAGAAGCAAGCTATCAGAGCTGGTCTCCTGGTCTCCGGTCTCCACCGAAAGGTCTCGGTCACAGGTCCACACCGGTCTCCACCACCAAACCCGTACTTCCCAAGCTCCACCCTGTAAGAAAACAAGGGCGGACGCTAGCCATGGGTCACCATTAGATATTCAAAAGCTGCAGTGCTATACGTAGTGCTTGCTATCTGTGGTGCGCTTAATTACTACAAACCTGGGGGTTAAAACTGGAAAACTCTCCTTCACAGACTTTTTAGATATTGGTGGGTCCATCTGGTGGCCGGTATTTGTGCGGTGGTTGCAAAATATACTTCGATAGTTCCATCTCTCACTTTTTTTGATGGCTCCGTTCTCTCTGGGTGTCAGCGCCTCGCTTCTGCTGGGCGTGGAGGCTTCTCCTCAAGAAACATAGCACAGGACAAGCAGTCTGACCCTGCATAAACCTGACTACAGCAACACAACGAATTCACAAGATCTTATCAATTCGTTGCGTGACAGGTTTTTGTATTTGTCTGTCTTCATAAGGAGCGGCCCAAAAAAACCCAGCGGGTGAACCAAAAAGTTGGCCCCTCAAATCCTCCAACAGTCACACGTTCGCAGCAGCGCAGCCCCAGACGTGTGTCCCGTTGCAGCGGGATGTGTTGTGGGTTTCCCGGGTGCGAGACATGAGTGGAGACCGGCAGCAATACCCAATGGAGTCCTTTGAACCAGTGTATCCCTGCTTGGGATCCTGAACATATGAGCTCTTAAGAATAGTGACGATTATCAATTCAGCAAAAGGTGGCAGGCTTCAGTTCTCAGGAATCTTGAAGTACCTTGCCGCTTGCGAGAATAGAAACGGCCACACAAATGTCCAACAAAAGATCGAGGACGGCATTGCCATGGGCATTTGCTACGCCATGATATCTCATTAAAAAATACACCCCGGAAGACGATCCCATGGACCCTGAAAACCACTGGTTGGTAGAGGAAAACACTCATAAACAGGGGGCCATGTTAGTCAGGGTATGTCAGGGTCTATGTTAGTTTGGGGGAGTATAAACAAATAACCATGTCATCCACCTCTGTCATCCACCGGTCGTAGCCGGCCTCAGCGGCTCGCCCCATGATGAAGAAGGCAAAGGCCGTGAGCACCTGAGGTTTTCATGGCGTTGAGCTCGGCTCATGGAGGTTCTGAACCGTATCAAGGCGCACGCGCCACTAAGGCGCTGACCAGAATGGATGCACATAGGGCCAGGGCCAGGGCCATCGTTTGGGTCGTCAGCCAACTCAGGGTAGCCACAGGGTCAGAGAGGCCTTTGGATCCACTACCACTCTCTGAGAAGGTGGCTTGATGACTTGATGCGGCTACAAGCGCCGCAGTGAGGATCCAGTCGTACCCTCTGAGATCCCTATGGTGAAAGCTTGTTTAACGGCTTTCAGGATTGTCACTGAAGACGTTGGACCCCTTGCATCCCTCCCAAAGGGAATTGTGAGACATAGTAAGAAGACAACTGCCTGCGCTGCAGATCGCATAATCCACCAAAAAATGAACCACACACACTCCCTGAAACAATCATGGAGGTGGAAAGCCACCTGTTTGGTATTCGGAAACTGGTTCTGCAAGGGGCCATGCCATCCACTTCCATTCAAGTCTGACGCAGCACGTCTCGTTTCGTTTTCTGCCGAAGTGCCAGTGGCAAGCAAACCAGGGTGAACAACATCACCGTGCCATCTGGTACGCCCTTGGCTGCCTCGTCGCTCACGGTGGCTGGTCTGGGGAGTATCCACTTGATGGACAGCGTTCTGTCAATTTCTATGGTCAGTTTACACGGTGGGGTTCTGGAAGGGAACTTGTTTGGCTAGTCTTGTTCTTCTTTGTAGCACCATGTTGCACCTTATCAGTTCCTATCCCGGTACCTGAAGCCCAAACATCAAATGCCTTGTGGCTAAACTCTCAAATCTCACATGGGTGTGCATTGAAATAGGAAGTTTGGAGGACCAACCAAAGGGGTAGACTGGTCCAGTTTCCTTCAAACCCAGGTTCGTTGCCTGGGGGGTCTCCCTTTTCTAGCACACAACCACACAGCTCCAGCCAGCATCGTCATCACTACAAAAACGCGACCCTTCGGAGGGTCCGAAGAGGCTCACTTGAAGGGAAGGAGGTGTGATGAGGTGTGCATCTTAAGGTATGAATCCTGAGGAGGGTGGTATACTGGCAATTCGGTTTGATTACAGCATCCTGAGCACCGCCTGAGCGTGCTCAAAGGACTTCTGTGTGCCTGCCTATGCTTTTTCTGCCCGGCATAGAGATGGGAGGGCAGCAATCCTCGTTTTCCTGAACCAATCCTCTACCAGCACCTTCCAAGAGGTGTCTATAGATAGCCTCTTAGAGGTTAAGAGGTGCCCAAACACCACCTGTTGGAAGGTCCTGGTAAGGATACCATCACGTCTTTGTGATACCCAAACACTCCATGGGAATGCCTTAGGACTGTCATAGATGCCTGGGGTGGTTGACTGGGGGTCAATGGGGCGGCATATATGGCAGTCCCATGGAGTGTCTGGGTGATATATTTCTGAATGACCCTTTTCCGAATTCCAAGCAAATGGCTTTCCACTCCCATGGATTTCAGGGAGTGTACCTCCTAGGTGCCTTCACTGGGCTGGTGGCCTGGTCCCCAAAAAGCGAGTTCCTCCTCAAAGAGCGAGCCACGTTCGCGCCTTGAGGCTTCGAGACAAAGCCACGCCGACTAACCTGGGGGTTGCTGGACGGATGTATGGAATGATGTGTCATAATTCGAGTGGACATCGCCAGACCTGCGCCAGACCTGCACATTGCAGCTGCTCACAGCCTCTTCCGACAAAAAAACTCTGACCCCAAGCGTACCATCTTCAATGTCCGCAACGAATCTTCTCGGTGGGCCATGTTCCTGCAGAAGAAAGGGAATCCTGTATGTGCAGGAAGAGTGGATATCGATGGATCCTATTCCCTGGAAAGGTCAACTCTTTTGCACCACGTTCCTCTTCAGCAGGAACACCACCAAAGAGGGCTTTTTGAGCCACTGACTGGGCTGCTACCGTTCCAGGATTGACTCTTCAATGCTTGGTCCAGCCGGGTGTGTCTGCACATGAAAAAAAGGGGGCAAACCGGACCACCTGAGCCAACTGGTCCAGGCTAGATGGCCGAAGTGCTTGGAATCACCGTGGTGTCATGGCTGAGATTTGGGCATCAAGGACTTCGAAAAAAGAGGCATTCACCCTAATGCCAACCGACTGACAGTCCCTGGAATCCTCATGAATACGTATAGATGGCATGGCCAAACAGATGGTGAACTCAGTGAACTCCACTTCCATGTTAATGACTTGGAGAGTAGTGCAAACTCGACAAAGCCACGGTGTCACAGTCCCGCACGTACCACCCCTGTGCCACAAAATGCAGCTACGTAGCTGCAAGCTATGAGGGACGAACTCGGCGTCAGGTTCAGTTTCCTGACAAACGTCATTGTGCTAGATTCGTAGCACAGGGAACTGGGGACCTCAAAACCAATTAGGACAAGAGGACTATGAGGACGTGTTAGACGTGTTCTAATGCACTAGATCTTACCAATTGTCATTGGAATTGGCAGGATTCACTGAAAGGAGTGCTTCTTCAATTCAATGGAACCCAAGGGATCCAAAAGGACATGAACCGCATCGGATCGAGGCCAACCGATGCGAGCCCTCGGGAACGATAGACGCAAAACAAACATGACTCTCCGATTGGAACCACCATTGATTCAATACAATCAATGGTTTTCTAATTTACTGCAAAACCCGTCCTTTACATACAATCAATGGTTTTCCTTTACATTGCTTTACAGGCTTTAGACTCCAAAAAACCATGTTGCCTCTCAACATATCTTGAAATGCTCCTGGAAGGCTAGGCTCGATCGTTGGGAAAACATCAAAAGATCCTCCTAGGGACGACAGCTTTCCGACCGTAGAACTTCCCTCACCATGCGGCTCTCTCTACTCCAAACGTGGCCCGCTTCGTCGGTCGCCTCGCCGAGGAATCCCTGCAGCAAACTGCCATGCCTGGCCCCGAAACGAGCGCGGATGGGAGCGCGGATGGAATTGACCCCCTGGTGGGGGATGGTGCAGACCACCCAGAGGCTCATCTAGCCTGAACCGGGTGTCCAGATCAAACACCCACTTGCTATTTGGAAGACACCCGGTTCAAGCTAGATGAGCCTCCAGGTGATTGGCAATGAACAAACCGGGGCGCCTTCCTGCGACAAATCCAAGGGACCAAACTCACCCGAAAACCCTCCGAACCCTGTGAGATCTGCGCAACCCGTGACCGACCGATCGCGGCTGGTCTCGGATGCAGCCGAACTGCTGTATCTGAGGGCCGCATCCAAGCAAGAAGCCCATCTGTCTCTTCCCTGTGACATCAACTTCCCCCCCGCAACCAAACCACTTCAAAGCCTGCCAAGTCGTAGACAGTGTCGTAGATCTCTCAAGACCCAACACCCACGTTTTTTTCCACCAAAAAATATCCAGTTTCGCCTTGAAGGGGCACTATGGACAACCTCAGCTGAAACTCGGACCGCGCATGCCGCGGGGAATGGGACCAAGTATGGACTGAGAATGATATTGGAGAATCCATTGGTGGAAGTGGAGTGAGTTGAAAACGACCGTAGTTTGCTATTCGGAAAATATCATTGGTCATCCTTCTGGGGCCATGCCATCCACTTCCAAGATGATGTCAAGGAGTGTAATAGGATCCATGACTGTCATGACTGGATCCATGACTGGATGAGAATATCATTCATCTAAAGTACAGGTGCGAGAGTCCATGTCTAGACTCATCCCTTGATGGGACTGGCATATTTACCGATCAGTTGAGGTGGTTGAAATAGGGTCAATGTAGGCATATTTCTTACATGGAGTGTTTGGGATGGTTATACCCAAACGTTTTCCGGCTCGTTTCTGGGTACAACAGGTTCTGGATGGTTGCAAACAAATCGTGCAATCAATCGTGTAGGGTTCATCCGTGTGTGGAGGGTAGGTGTTTGCAAGTGGAACAGAAATTGAGTTGGTAGTGCCAAAAACTCGTTTGGACAACTGAGGCTCCCCGCTGGAATTACGAAGAGCAGCGCTTTCCCATAAACCAGAAGAACACGCATACCTCTTCATGGACCCATGCAAACCCGTCAGCTCCACCGCACGCGCACGGCAATCAATCTGCAATGTGACACATGCAGTAACAAGAACCACGTGCGAATCACATGCAATGCATGTCCCCAGGGATCCACCGTACCGACCCGGTTTGCGTAGCGACTGGACCCATGATCACTTTCGGCTACGTCCAAGTGTCGTTCACATCGACCTGTTCAGAGAGTGGCAGTGGATCCATGTCCGGGATGCTTCGACCCAATGCGGATCATGGCACCAGGATAGCTTGGTTGACCTACCGGCGTTCTTTGCGTCTGTACCCGGGGTAAGTGGTAAATCCCCTTCACAGTAAAAGAGTATGAACAACAATGAAAACTATACAAGTGAAACCGAATCTCCGCGCAGCATGGAAGTTCAAGCTACATGGTGTCGGGGCTACAGGTTTTGGTCCATCCTCACATGTTCATTCCGACTCACGTCGTTCTCTTCCTGAGGTGTTTTTGCAAAGGAGGGTTCTCCCATTCGGCCACCCATGCAGCAACGAAAACTCGATGGCCAGGCAGCCTGAAAAAAGACGGACTTAAAACATGGTTGAAGTTGACCTTCTTTGCAAAACAAATACATGGTGGATCATGGTGGTTTGATGTTGTTTGGTACAGACCGTCGGCCAGGAATCCTCGGTGGGGTTGGTGAATTCCTGTGCCCCAGACATCAAGTCACTCCGATCCACCTCTAACCCACTCTATGTGACCCCTGTTTTCTTCGGTGCCAACCCTTCCAAACAGAGCATCGTCACATCAAAACAGGCATCAATGGGCTCTAACAGCTCTAGCAGAATGAGACATCGATCAGTATGTCCATCTTCTAAAGACATATTCATATACTCAGCCGCGTTCTCGGGCTCATGGACGGTGACTTAAAAACACACACTCTGACACTTGTATTCAGTGAACTCAGTTACCACGCTGGGAAGGAAGGTGACAGAACTGCATGGTGGAGAGTCCGAAAGACTTGTAGGTGTTTCAACAAGTTGTTGGTCAAGTCTGCAGAACGATCGATCGGCGCGGCTCAGCTGCACGACAACGCGGCTGCAAGAAAGGGTTTAGGGGGGAAGTATCATGCAAGGACCATGAAAACAAACCAGAGGAAAATTGGTGTCACAGCTTGCAATCAAGGCAGGTACACAGATTGGCGTCCCAATCTGCTTCACGGAATGTCCACAGCTGTCTTCGTTGGCAGCAGAACTGTGGATTCCCTGCTGCCCCCTGCCTGTAGAAGGTGGTTGAAAAAGGTAGTTGAAAAACGTGGAAGGAGTAGCGGTGGAAAACCCTTTGTCCAGGGGTGGACACACACACACACCCACACACAACCCATCTCGTCTCTGCGTTGCACCTGGGTCAGGTCCTGGTGGGGTTTCCAAGACCTGGCGACGCCAAGCCCGGGGGCTTCCGGGAAAGAACACAAACACGGAGAAGAACTGCGAACTGCTTACAAGGGCACGATATACATGCAAAGCACCTTATGGTGTATGTGTTTCTTTTCAAAAAGAGGTGTCATGATCACATGAAAGTGTCATGATCAGTTCTTCATAGTTGTTTTTTTTCCTGGGTTATGGAGCAAAGCGTAAGATCTACCCTCTGTTCATTTATCTTCAATTATCATGGAAGTGGACGACTGGACAAGAAATGCCGTGTTTCAAAATGGAAAGTCCGGGAGGAAAACGTCCACGAACCCACGTCTGCTTGGATGGAGGGTAAAGTAATTAATGGTTTCAGCTTATTTTAGGTCAATCAAATGAACAACAACAAAGTCATCCATCTTCCACCAGTCTCACCCTGGGACGGCTTGATTTTCTGGTAGCTCAAACATCATTTCAATGCTCAAAGCCCTTGTTTCATGCTCGGGGCTGTACCCCAAAACCCGGGTTCTAGCTCGGTCTCTGGTATCTCGGTCTCTGGATGGTCATTTGAACTGCAAAGATGGCACAGACCTTATGAGCCAAGCTCCGACTTGGCGCATAGACCTGGCTGAGCCAACTTGCCCTAGGCATCATGTGACCATTTCTTTGCCCCAAATGCCTACGATTCATGGGGGTTCATGGCTGGTTTGAGACAAATGATGAAGTGAGCTCATGGCCAGTAGGATCCATGAACACACACACAGAGTTCATGGCCTACGAAGTCCATAGATCCTACTGGCTGGTTTGGAGTGACGTTGTGTTGAGCAACCATGCACAAGCCACACAAAACATTGGCTATGGGTCAAAGCCTGGAGCCCAAATCCCTGGTAGGTTGACCTCCCTAGTAGTCTATTTTGTTAATTTTTGGTGGGAAACACCAGAGTCTTTGGGTGTTAACCCACACAAAACAGCACAAACCCAAAGCAAACCTCATTCCAGCAGCGTGTTCTCTCTCTCTCTCTCTCTCTCTTTTTGGCGATGTCGCGGACAGCCCAGGCTCGTGCCAGTGGGCGACCCGCTCGTCCGCTCGTTGTCATAGGATAGGTCGAAGATGGTAGAAGAACAGGGTGGTGTTTCATCCAATTTGCTCATTGGAATCTTTGTGAAAAATCATGAAAGGTCATCTTCCTGAACCCAGCTAGTTTCCTCTGTCGAACATGACTCTTCCTTGCTTGCCTAGTCTCTTCTTTTCTGGGATGCGGTTCGCCAGCACATGGTCTGGTTAGACGGTTTTTGCTTGTGCTTTGCAGAAGCTCTGGACATCTCTGCACGAGACATCTGCGCGGGGTTGGCCGTTGGCTTAGGAGATCTGACCTCCAAGAAAGAAAGGCTGACAGATCGCTTGCGCGCTTGCCAGCGCCCCAACTGCATGATTGTGCCCAAAAGAAATACCCAAGACCTCCTGAAAAAGGTCTCTGCTTCGGTTGAGCTTGGAGGGTTGGCTTTCACTGACTACCCTCTGAGGAGGATCGATCTGAAGGGGATGCTATAGTGTTTCTTCATGCTTCTTCATTACTCACTGAGAGATCTCTCACCATCAATATGCACCGTGGTGTTGACAATTGTCATCCACACCCGTGCTAACGATAAAAACCTCAGTCTCATCCGTCTTGGGAGTCACAACTTTCCAGTAAAAAATGCATCCACACTGACCGAGGCATCCCGAGGACAAAAAAAATAGTATATAATATTCCATTAATTTCCCACCACATTGCCTCTGCAAGCCCAATTCCAGGGTACAAAAAGGTACTCCTTCCCTGCTTCAGCTTGATCTTGACCTCCTCTGCGATCGAGTCCAACCCTCTGGAAGACATGCCCTGGACAGCTCACCATGCCGCTTGTCCTGGCCCTGGCTGCGCCCCACCCGCAGGGGCGCCCGTGGAACCACCCTGCGGCATCCCTGCGGGCTGCGGCATCACTGAAGCACCCGGGGCGCCTGTCGGTGGTGTCGGCAGGAAGCACGAAATCATGTGGTGAGGATACTCAAAATCAGCTGGTCAGGGGCCCATGGTAGCTCCCCTGAGCTGAACTCATCACAGTTCATATATATAATATTTATATATATATATATTATAACTGTAAATGGATCATAATTATACACAAAAAAACATATCATATCAATGTCTTTCTGAAACACTCTATGAAGATGTATTGAAGGTAACGTGAAACATGTCTGGACTGGCAGGATCCATCCAGGCAAGTGACCAAAACCATCAGATCTGATTCTCATCCACTGAAAAGGTTCAGCAACAGACCCAACAGGAAACACACATGATACACTCTGACTCATTAACATGGAGAGTGGAAATGGGGACCCTGGAAGAAGACTACTGTCCTCTACATACAGGGGGGGTTCCACTTCCATGTTAGTGAGTCAAAGCGTATTGATCATGGCTACTATCATGGCTATCTCATGCCTACTCAGATCGCCCAAGTCAAGCGCGCATCAGAGACTGGGATTGGTCCAATCTCTCGCAGGGCAATCGCACCATGCCATCATGCCATGTCTGGAGGGACTTTGACTCTTGATATCTCTTGACTTTGCTACCGTCCTACCGATGTTCCCTGGATGTGAACTGCGGTACTTCAAACATCTCTCGCCCAGCACCGTCGTTCCAAACATGAACCTGCACCCTTTCCGGCACCGCGCACCGCTCCAACCTCCAAAGCTCCCAGCCGCTGGATACCCCGCATACTGCGCGCCAGCCGCGTCGTAGCCGGTGCTGCCATCGTATCCCGCCGTGGCATAGGTGGCATCGTAGCCCGAGTAGGCGCCTGCCTCCTGGCATCGTCAAAGCGGTCGAACTCGACTGAACCACCGAACAAGCACCAACCGAACATCTCAGAAAAAAAGGCAAAGACATATTTAGCTGACTCTCAGAACAAGCAGCGGCTCGTGTTGAAGTAGGGAATCAGCCTTTAGCCGCCTATGTTGTGTAGCAGGACCTATATAATATATAATATCATTCTAGTAAACCTATGCTATTAGTCAACCTATCCTATCCCTCAGAAACAGCACCTCCCTTGGTAGAGAACAAACAATACCGCGCTGGCGTGACGCCGTCAATACAGTATGGTGCCAATATGTGCATGTCCACCCGTTACGACCGGTGGCTTGAAGACCCTTTGATCGGCGCATCTAGTGCAAACTTATCCCTAGGGCTCCAAGTACCTTCTCAGAAGGTATGACTGAACCCTCCTGGCACCCACACCAAACACCTTCTTAGAAGGTACGACTGGAGCCCTAGGGTACATCATCTTATATCACACGTCAGGATTCCAACTGCTCAGTCTTCCCAAGTGGTGTTTTTTTTGGGGGGGGACTTGCCTCATTGCCCAGTCCACTGGGACATGCCTTGTGCCGTGAGTTCGAGTTCTGCGGGTCTACCCTCCCAACCAGCGGACGACCTCGCGAGAACGACTCAATGTCAGAACGAATCCTCCGTTCGCAGGAGACTCCACCAGTTGATGCCAGGGATCATCTGTTGATGCTTCAGCCTCTCCAGTTTTTCCCATGTCTATGATCCACCGACCCTTTTTTATAACGCCTCTGCAAAACACCAACGGCCAATGAGGTACCTTGAGAAGCTGGCACTGTGGGGACAAAGTATATATAAATACTAACAGGACCGTGTTTCCATTTTTCTGGACATGTCTGTCTGGGGGCCACCGCAATAGGAATGTTCACTGCCTGTCGCATTCTCATAGCTCTTTGGTTGCTTTCATGGGACTCTGATTTTGTTGAACTCACTCGCGCCAGGTGGTGGGTGCTTTTCAAACTAGCTGATCTCCTGAAAGGCCGCTGCTTGAAAGGATGCTGCCTGCTCCTCCCGCGGCAACGGCAGTAGAGTCAACGGCAACGGCAACGGCGATGTGACCAGAAGGGGGTCCCACACCCTCATCCTCCCTCATCCTCCCTCATCCATGGTCTAGAGCTACAACTTCCTCCCCCTTGTTGTGCAGCGTATTTCGGGTGATCCCCACCCAAAGAGGTGATTTGGAAGGACGATGTATGGACTTACTGTGTCTTTTCTGAAATCTGACATATATGTTCTGACGCGTATTTGGGACGCCTATTTTGGCATGATTTGCCATGTATTCTCGCACATGTTTTCACCAAAGCATGTTCAACGGCCTATCTTCTCGTCAGAGGTGCTTCGTTCAAACCTTTGGGACCCTGATCTGTCAAGATCGCAGGTTGTCATGTCCACTGACCATAAGTCCACTGCGCTCCTCCATCGCGCCGTAGCTCTCTTGCTCTTTGAGCATCTCCTGACACCATATCTGGTCGCGCGCCCTATATTCAAAGACGGGAATATAGCATCAAAGATCATGCAAGTCTGACTCCCTGAAATGTGTTTGCCTGCCATGTGATTCTGACACCATAGCAACCATGCATGGTCTTGGAAACTCAATAAAAGATGCATGAGCATGGGCAAAAATTATCCCAGTCCTAAGGATCAGCCTGGCAATGATCAAACACCCAGTGTGGCGGTCACATGGGTGACATGTGGGGTGGATCAACAGGCAAACAACCAAACTTGGTAGTTCATGTCACTTCAGGCCCGGCGTTGTAGGACCTGGGAGCCCTATGTTAAGATTGGTATGTACATGATTGTACATGTACAATGTTTAATAGATCAAAGAGTACGGGTGTGGATTCTATACAACTGCAGTGACACTTCAATTTTCGGGTTCTTTATTCAGTGTGTGCCTGAAAAATCAAGAGAACCTCAACACATATCCAGGTCTTTTACATGTCCCTGCCTCATGTTCCAAGCAAGTCCACACCAGCCGCAATTGCAAATATTTATAACTTCCTGAACTCACCCCAACTGCGCCAGGAAGCACCACAAGAGTCCAACGAACCAAAAACAACCAAAACGGCCGGTCCTTGTAGATGCGTTGCTCCTCGGTCTGCTCGTTGCTGAGCCTCGTGGGCCACGCCACGTCGGTCGCCCTAGGAGTTAAGCACCACGTCGGTTGCACTGTAAAGGTTCTTACAAGTTCGTACCGAACAGTCATTGTTTGACATTAGAGATTGTGCACGTCACATTACCCAGGTCAATCTTTCTTTATCGTCGCATTCCGGAAGGCTAAGTACAGTAGGCACCTAAGTACAGTAGGAATTGGCAAAACAAAAAAACTGGTTAAACCCATGTTAAACATATCCAATCCCATCGATTCCCATCGACTCTTCCCATCGAAACATCGGAAGATCCATGTGTCAAGGTATAGGGCCTGGTAGCGAAACGCCGTGCTTGCAAGTAACAAGTGCTGAAAGGTAGAGGGTGTAGGGTGTAGTGTTGAAAAGCATCTCAAAAACCGAGTGCTGCAGATTTTCAAAGCTGTCAACGTGTGTTCGTCTTCTGATTCAACTGATTCAACCAATACTCCGTTGCTTCGGACTCTTTCGTGGAAGACGGCGTAAACACAACGTACCCACCAGTTCTGGGTCGACCGTTTTGGAAGCATGGCACCGCCCCAGATGTCTTGGACGGGACAACACCGACTTGATGGGGTTGGCCAAAGGTCACCTCTGAAAGCACAGAAAAAGGGTTTTTCGGCGACCAAAACGACCAAGCCAAGCTGACCAGGGAACATCCATCTTCCTCGTTTTGGAAGAGCAAGACTAGTGGGACTTGGAACACCAAATCACTTCAGGGCAGCTTCAACTGCAATCGAACAGTCTACAAGGCTGGTATTCACGGTATGCAACTGATCTGCATAAGTTATACTGTAAGCATGCCATAGCATGCCGAGATGCCAACCATCTCCCGAGACTCAGCTGGATCTTCAATGCCATCTTTGGGCATGACCATATCAGCCATCAGCCAAGGCGCTTCATACAGGTATGCATTCCAATAGAAACGAGTTGAAGAAACAGTGCCACCCAGACCTGGACTTGAAGCGCGGCTGGAAGGGAGGAAAACGCGAGCGGCACGCTCATGGTCGAGGAAAACAGCGGTACGGGTCTTGTAAGAGTCGGGCAGTCTGCAGTCATGTTCGGCTGCACAAAAGCAATCTATACGGCGAAGGTTTTCTGCGCCCTCTTAGAGGGGAAGATCTGCAGGGTTTCCTCCGGTGTCATCGATTCATATGATTCATCTGTTCACTGAGCGTTGGCCCACAAAACTTGTGGTATCATGGACCACACCTGATCGCACAACTCTGCACCCAAACATGGCCACAGCCGGGTTCCTTTACTTTGCAGATATATCGTTTCCGGTCAAGTGCTGGCGAAGGATGGCATCTCGAATGTGCCCACCTCAAGCCCAATCATCAGCTTCTGGTCACATCTAAATCTAGTCTGCCATCATTATGCATTCAGTGACTTTTTTCTAGGCAATCCATGTCCGCAAAACATTTTACAACAGGGCTCCACCTTTGTCATTCTTTTGAGGGATTAGGTGGCCCGCAGACTATCTGTGCACACTCCACATCAGTCACTCAGAAAAACGACCCACCTAGCACAGTCCCAGGCCCTCCCGGTGCTGGTGTAGTTTTGGCCAAGGTGCCAAGAAGTAGCCAGGGCACATCCCCACCGACTGGCTCGCTTCAAAAACGAATGGAAGACCTTCGCCGCCTCAGTGAAGTGTCCCAGGAAAAGTTCCTTGCGTTTCTGGCATCAGCCATCGAGGTCAGCATAGGTCCATTTGTTTCTACATCCAACATGGTCGCAGTCTAGCCATGTGAAAGACCAACAAAAGAAAGTCATGCAATTTGGATCAATCTGGAGATAGATACCAAATGGATCCCCTGCCAGTGCATCCACATGGAGTTCTCGCTCGCTTTTCCGTACGAAAAACTCCAAACAACAGCCCAAAGTCCATCGTCCAGCTCGTTGCTGAGGGGAGGCAAACACCGAGTGCTCTGGAGAGGGTAAAGCGGCGACTCTCCATTGTTTTCCAAAGATGTGTGCTTGGATGGATTCATCACAGTCCAGGACTGAAAGGACCTGAAATCGGCAGCTTTCAGACCAGACATGGTCCTGGAGTCCTACAACTAGGCCTAGTACTGGGGATTGCCAGTTGGGCAGCTTGGCTCATAATTTCATGCCACCGAGTAGGGCACAGCCGGGGGCACAGCTCAGGTAGGCCTGAAGGGTGGCGTTTCGTTTCATCCACAAAGCTCTCGATCCAAGATGATTCGATGGCGGAACCGCAAAGGGTTTTTGCACCACCGAACCCCTTCGTCTCCGTCATGATCCGTTTTCAGGTCTGACGGCTCTCATTTCATCGAAGAACGTGGTCTGTGGTCCCCATGGTCTCATGTCTTTGGAAAAGAAACATCGACAAAGATAATTTAACTCATTTTAACTCTGCTAATGTAAAAGGAACACTAGCTAACACATGAGCCATCTTGGAGGGTTAAGTTTTCCAGTTTTCCCATCCTGCACTCTATCCACTGCAAGAACTGAAACACTGCATGGACTGCTGCCCAAAAGAACGCGATGCTGCCCAAATCACCGATGTGATCCAGAGAAGTCATGGCGAACGCCGTGTAGCCTCGGCCAAACATATTCGTTGAACACATAACAAAGGACTCGCAGGTTCCCAAATGAAATGACGCAAATTACGACTCTTACGACCTATAATTGCTATTCTACGAGAACAAAGCTTTTATCGAGTCTAGTCTTTATAACAAAGATCGTCCATCGACTTGTCTCGAGTGTCTTGCGAGCTCGCTTGTTCCTCCCTTTGGTTCAGCCAGAGTTCTTTTCCCACCAAGTGGCCGGCCACGGCGCATAGCATCAGAAAGGTCCCGAGCCCATGCAAGATCACCGCCCAAGTGCGATAGATGGGCTTATGACTCTTGCCTCCAAAGCGAGGCAAAAGAGCGTCTACGACTCCCGAGGTCGTTGTATTTGTTTTGTTTTTCACGCACGCGTTATGAGTCCGTAGATTGTGTTTCACTCCGTAGATGCCATTTGGACTTGGCGAAGATGGGGGGTTCTGAGCTGTATGGCTGTATGGTGACATAGTGGTTCAGTTTGATTCAGGATGCGATGCTTCAGGCGCCAGTTGGAGTCGGAGCAGCTTCCGAACTCAGATTCGATGCTGGGAGTTGGAACTTCTGCATATGAGAATCATGGAAAATAATGAGCTTTTGATCCTTTTTGGACCTTTCTTGGGGAACCTTCCCCTTCCTATCTCGTCTTCCGAGAAGGAATCGGGTCTCGGGTCTCATTGGGTTCTAATGATCAGCCTTTCTCAAAGTGACCTCCGCAGACCTTCACAAAGGTCTCACATCTAGTGTGGCCATGTGTGGCCCACCTCAAGATTCCAAAGACCATCATGATAAATACAGACGTCATTGCTGGGTCCAAATGGATGAACACGATGAAAACACCCAGCAGTCACAAAGGGGTGGTGTTTGGTCCCATCCAGTGAGTGGATAATGGGCACTCCGAACCTCCATTAAGCACCTTTTTTGTGACTGCTGGACATGGGACTCTGGCGTGTGGACTCATCTCGTCACCAGCTCCGCTCGTCACCTCTCTCTCTTCCAGGTTTCGCCGGTGCGTTCGTGCTAGTCCCAGCTGAGCTGCTGTCCAAGTAGTAGTAGAGGAGGTAGGCGCAAGTGGAAAGCAGGATCACGTTGATTGCATACCTCAACATGGCCACCCAAGAGGAATGGGGAGGTTTCTACCTGCGCTTTCTCCCAGACCGTCAGACCGTCAGACCGCATCGCCAACACCTCAGTTGAAAAAACACCAGGATCCTTCGAACACCTCAGTTGGCCCACATGTTCCAGGGATCCTTCGAACTCATCCAGGATCCTTCGAACTCAATGGTTCCGTTTGGGATCGAATTTGCTGCCTGATCTGTCTGCGCAGGCGAAGACGGAGACCTGATCTGTCGGGATGTCTAAGCAATCCCAAACCAACCATGTATGGTTCCGTACATGAACCCCATGAAAATGACCCGGATCCTATATATATATATATTGATGGTGTGGGAATGGCATCTTGACAAACATTCAGGGACGCACAACCCATCAGGACGGAGCAAATCTTGGGAACCGACGAGGGGAATCGGAATGTAACAGAGCTGGTGCCAAGAAATGACTCGCTGGTTTTTTCACTGGTGTGTTTTCAAACAGGGGGACCCTCCATGACCCTCCCAACCAATGAGTAGACTGATCTATCTACTCAATCTACTCTGCTTCTGCCAGGGGGTCGGAACGCCTGGGAGGTCAACCCCATGCAAAAATAAAGGTGTTCACATACAAAAACCAGGTTTTTTGCTAGGGAAAACCAGGTTTGGTATGGTTTGTGGGGCCCGTGGTAGGCACTCGGAATTCCCACGCGATTGCGACATCGCGATTGGCGACATGGTGACATCCCCAGAAGGTTAGCGTGAAAAAAAAAAAGGGCGTCGATGAAATGTCGCATCTTCTCCCAAGCTACACGATGAGCACCACCATGCCCATGATATAGGCTCTGTTGAAGGCCTCAAACAGCACAAACTCTTAACACCCACAAGGCAATTCTTGGGCTCCTCTGGGCCCATTTGCTCAGCTTAAAAGCAGGTCCAGTGGGGCACTGCGGGATCCTGAGGTCCCACACAATGCAGGGATGCTGGTAGAAGGCAGTGATGGCGGGCGCACACCAATCGGCAGCTGCCTGGCTGATATTGGCTGATAGGTAGAGTCCGGTGCTAAAAATATTCTGGTGAAGACCACCACTGTCCAGCCTACATGGGGAAGGGATGGCTTGGCTAGCTACCGCAATCCTTCCAAAGGTTTAGTCAAGGGTCCTCTTTGTGCAGCTCTGCGGCGCGTGTTTGTGTGCAGCTCTGCGGCGCGTGTTTGTGGCAATTGTTTTGCGCGCAGTATCATTATACCTGGGTCCTCCTTTAGGCTAAAAAAAGTGCCGGACTTCAGTCCGGCAAAATTGTCCGCCGAGAACTTGAAAAAACATCCGGGTCCAAAATATTGAAAAACAGCTGATGAAAGGTTGGGTCATACACAAGCAAACTGCCTTTGCGCCTTTGCGCCACGAGTAGTTTTTCTGGAACACACTCATTCCTCAACCCAATCACTGGAGCCTTCCCGTTCCCATTGCCCTCGCCCATCTTCCGAAATGCCTAAGAGCAGAACCTTCACAAAATATAAGCCAACTTGTGTCCAAGCAAAGACGTCCAAAAACAAGCCAAGGAGTATGTGTATGTGTCAAGGAACCCCTCTTTCTCTGCAACCGTGTCTCTGAAGCTCTTTTACAAAGTGGGTTGCTCTCCAGGATTTTTCACTTTGCGTCAGGACCTCGACCCCCTAATCAGCGCAGCAGAACGCATGCTTCCAGTCAACACCTTCAAGATTCAAAACCTTCAAAAGACTGAGTCCGGAAAATTAGGCCGGAGTATTTACGGGAAATTACGCCGGATGTACGGGAAATTACGCCAGAGTTACGGGAATTGACGCCGGAGTTACGACGCGCCCTTTTTTTCGGCAACTCTCTGCAAAACATTGAGATTCTGAACAACACACGTTCCGCAGCCCAAAACTTGTCCGGCAGGCTCTGCCAGCCTGCGTAGTAGCTAGAACTATTTCCCAGCGCCCCGACATCCTGAAACAATGGGAATACATTATCGCCTATGTTCTTTCAGCTTAGGTACACGTGCATCGCACTGTATCGAATTCATTAAGAAGATCACCTAAACGGATCTGATTGAGCCTGTGTGAACCACTGCTGAAACCGGTGGAATGAGAAAACAGCGAAACAGGCAAACGAGCACAATTTCAGGCAAAATTATTCGTCAGTGGTGGATTTACCTTCAAAGAAATGTGGACCACAAAGAATGCAAAGCCTTGAGAATCCACATACAGTGGCTTGGAAAAACTGCCGGACCAAATCCAGAAAAACGCCGGAGTTGGAAGTCCGGCGCCGGACCCTGTAAAAGTGCCGGCTGAAGATCTAGGTATAACATATATATACCAGGACCAACGCCAAGAGGTGTCTATAAATAGCCTCCTAGTGGTTAAGGGGTGTCCCAAATCCACCGGACTTAGGACTTGGAAGGTGCTGGTATATATATATATACCAGCAGTCACAAAGGGGTGCTTAATGGAGGTTAGGGGTGCCCATTATCCACTCACTGGATGGGACTAAACACCACCCCTTCGTCTGTGGAACCTGGGGTGGATCATCAACACATCCAAGACATTTGCTTGGCGAGAACAATCGCACGAAGGGGAGAGAGTGTCACGCCACAAGCTTTCCCAGAAATGGTTTCCAATACATTTTGAGTGGGGATCTACTTTTCGATCTATTTGGTGGTCTATATACTCCACTTGTGCATCCAAGGCTGCATGGTGATGATTGACACCTCTTAGATTCTTAGATCCTCCAATTAAAAGTGTTTCTAGGACATATTGTACTCACTGAGTTCAACAAAAGAGCGTCGCTGGAATTGTCGGACTCACTCACTGGACCCAGAAGTAGGACACCGCACAATGGATGTGTCCAACCCAGTCTGTCCCCGTCCCAAACGACCTCTGAACTGCATCCGGCGCATCCCTCCTCGTGTCCCTGAAAACGAGCCAGGCACGGCCTCCTGTAAGGGCCAGCCATCCGCCAGGCCCTCAGAGAGCCGTGCATGTTCTTCCACTGATGACGAGACGAAAGACCGAGTCTTGCATCAAACTGCAGTTTGATGAAGAACGAACGAGAGAGTGGGAATATGACTCAATGACTATGAGTCAGGACCCTCTACACCAGGCCATACACTGACCACAAACAAAGCCACAAACAAGGGTTTGAGCATGTCTGAGCTTCACCTAGAGCCCAAACACGACCTCTGATTTGATAAGACGTTTGACTCGTTTGACCATATATGTTACGTGTTTGGTGATCCAATTCGTTTGGCCGTTTGGCCCTTATCCTTTTCACCGACGTGTG